TGTTCCCCAAACTCAAAGAACATTGAAAGGGATCATCTGAACCCCTGAAGGATGCCAAAACTGCCATTTGATGTGGTACAAATTGAAGAGCACAAGATTCTTCGGAAAAGAGATGGAAACACCACCTTCAGAGTTTATAGCCCTGGATGGAAGATATGATGAGAAGCTTCACATTTTGATAATTTTGTTTAATTAAGGTCCCTATGATTTTGTAGAAATACTTTTTGTTTACCCTTACGTATGTATCATAGTGGTTCCGAATCGGGCGGTGAACCGCAAGGTCAGCAGTTCGAAACTACCAGTTGTTCTGCAGGAAAAAGATTAGGTTTTCAGCTCCCGTAAAGATTTCCAGGCTTGGAAACCCTGTACAGGATCACTATGAGTTGGAAATGACTCCAAGGCACATAACCAACCAACCAATATGTTTTCGTTGATGTTTAGTGCATTCGAGTCAGTTCTGACTCATAGTAACCCTGTATAGGCTTCTGAGGAGTGGCTGGTGAGCTTTAACCACCAACCTTGTAGTTCAAACTGACCTTGTAGCCCAGAGCATTAATCCGCAGTGCCACCTTCTATGTATTACCTATCAAGAACTAGCAAGACGTATTGGAAGATGATTCTTTCATTAAAACAGATTATGTCTTGGAGAATTTTATCATAGTAATAGATGGCATAAATTTCCATTTACAAAATTTCAAAGAAGATAACTAGTCTACTTACTGTGTATGTGGGTGCGTGCAGGGAGGGATGTTCATTATATCAATTCTATTACTAGGTCTTTTCCAAGACAAATATGATTATAACAATAGCTCTGTTGTCATATAAAACTGGACTGAGGATATGGTTCAAAACCAAGGTTAAAATTAACTTAATAGTCTTCTCTCCTTAACTTAAATAATTGGTAGGGGCTACGTTAAACACAAAGAAAAAAAAAAGAAAAGACATAAGATTGTGTGTCTCCAGGTAGGGACTCCAAGAAAAATCAACAAGAAAGATGAAAGTCCAAGTGAGGGCAGATAGTAATACAATGACTTTTCCCCAGAATGAAATATGGAATAAGGCTGTTGGCCCTCATAAGTCAAATCAGATAAATCTCATCTCCTCTCCTAGTGAAAGGAGTAAAAAAAAACAACAACAACAACAAAAAAAAAACAGCGTCTCCTTAGAAGTTCCAAGAAAACATTGTTAAGTGCTGTCGAGTGGGTTCTGACTCATAGAGACTCTGTATAGGGTTTTCAAGGAGCTGGTAGTGAGTTCAGACTGATCTTGCAGTCTTAGCCCACAGTGCCATACCTGCATATCACTACAGAAAGAAACAGCTCAGAAGAAAGATTTATTTTCCCCACTACACTATCATCAAGCACTCTGAAGACTAACCAGAGTTCATGAGTGTTCTATACAATGCACTACATAAATGTCATTTTCTTGCTCTGAAACATTAAGTAAAACTATCATAATTATTTTCAAAGCTATTTATGTAATATGAGAATAGTTAACACTGGATCAAAAGTTGTACTGGGTTTAAGACAGTTTGACTTCTAACTATAAACTAGTGTCCACAATTTATTCAAGAGCATCTGAAACTTTTCTAGAACTCCTGGTGTGGCACTCTAGAATAAGCATTGCACTGCTAACTACAAGGTTGGCAGTTCAAATCCAACAAGGTGCTCCTCAGAAACCTATATACGGTTGCTATGAGTCGGAACTGACTCGACAGCACTCGGCAACAAAAGCAGCAATTTTTCTAATTAAAAAATAGTGCAGTGCCTGAATTCTTCCAAAGGTAACCTTGATGCATGTTGCTAAATACCTAAGAAAAACCATTGGACTGAAATATGTGAGAAGAATTTTTTAATCTATAAACTCATGACTATCACAAATGAAAAATTAGAATGCAAGACAATAAAAAATAAAAGTTGAATTGCTGTTGATAAGTGCTGTTGAGTCAGTTCTGACCCACAGCGACCCTGGACAGGGTTTCCAAGGAGCGGCTGGTGAGTTTGCCGTTCAAACCAACATTGCGGTCTAGCACATTAACCCTCAACATCACACCAGGACTCCATGTAGGCAGTCTTTATTTCTTTCAAATTTATGACTCAATTTATATTTCATTATTTTTTGTCTTCTTTACTTTTTAATCCAAGGAATTAGAAACGAACATTCCTTTTTACAGCAACCATTATTTGACTCTATAAATCTGGAAGACTAAATATGCTGTGAAAAGTGTCACTTAAAATTAAGTACACATTATTAGCTTAGTAAATCATAAAAAAATGAAATGACCAACAGAGCCCACTTTATTTCTTTTTATTTTTCAGAAACATATTATGAAATTTTAAAACCGTAGCCAAATTCATATCTTACTTAAATTGCTTTCTTTGCCTTTGTATTTTTAAAAAAGGGTTTTGGTATCCTATATGCCAAAATTGAAATGAAACAAATTATAATATGGAAAAGAATAGACTCAGAAGCATAGAAACCATCATTTATGATGATGTTGTTATTAAGTGCCATCAAGTTGGTTCCCCCCCCCCCCCATAGCGACCCCGTATGGGGTTTCCTAGGAGCGGTTAGTAAGCTTAAACCACCAACCTTGTGATTCAAACTTACTTTGCAGTCCAGTGTATTAACCCATGGCACCATAGAAGGAATCCATAGTTTATGATAGCTACTTTAACCTTTTGTGGATGGCAGTAACAGTGTGTTTTTTATTTTTAAAGTTATAAATTGCCTCACGATTGAATTCTTCGTAAAAATTTTTTTCTTCGATTTAAAAAATACTACTTTGGAATGCCCTGCATAGAATTGTTTGTTTGTATCTATCTTCTAGTTGAATTCAACTGATGTCTGTGCACTTTTTTTTCATCAAAGGATATGAAAAATCCCGAAGCTTAAACAACATAGCAGGCTTGGCAGGCAATGCTCTGAGGCTCTCTCCAGTAACATCACCTTACAACTCTCCTTGTCCTCTGAGGCGCTCTCGATCTCCCATCCCATCTATCTTGTAGACTAAACTGCATCAGTCGGCTAAATTGTATTAGTTCAAGTACTGTTTACTCCCTAATGGAATTCAGTAAAAGTAGCATTACTCCAGTCTCCAATAATACAGTATAAATCCTGCATGATACTACTATTTGAAGTCAGAAATGTCACTTGGATAGCTAACAAATCTTATCCTGGCTTAAAGATGATTTAAAGTAGTGCTCCTCCTCCATATTAACTGACCTGATCACTTTTTGCAATAAAATGATAGATAGTGCAGATATTGGCCAGTACACCAATCTATAAAAATATCTTCAGGGAGATGTATTTAAAACAGTGTGCTTCCAAATGCCAACCCTTCCATTGGGCCTTCATTTCTTGTGACTCTCTAAATCATTCTAAAGTTATTTGGGATCCTATATTGATTATACACAACATGACTTTGGTAAGCTCATTTGCAAGGACCATCTTGTTTCTGTCACCTGAGAGGAGAGCACTGTTGCAGAGTTTGGGGACTATGGAGAGCTTGAGCTATGTGTCCATGCATTGAACCACCCTACAGATGTGAAAGCATTGTTAAACTGCTGTGCATTTTGAATTCTACAGTGGGAAGGGCAAGTTTCTCCTTGACGTAATATTCCTTATTCTCAGAGAGAAATATATATTTTTAAATAGTATAATTTTTGATTGATTTATTTTTCTTCAAAAAATGCTGTATTGGAGTTCTGAATGTCTCTGCTTGTTTGCACACAGATAATTGCAAAGAGGTTGACATTACTGGTTACATGCAAACTGAAGCCAGTTCTGTTAATGGTTTAGAGAAGCCATAAAACATAAGAGAAAGATTAACTGCCAGTCAGGTTTATATTGTTTAGCCAGCAACTACTGATAAGGAGCTCTGGTAGCATAGTAGTTACAAATCGGGCTGCTAACCTCAAGGTTGGCAGTTCGAAACTACCAGCGGTTCCATCGGAGAAAGATGAGGCGGTCTGCTCCCATAAAGATTTATAGCCTTGGAAACCCTGTATAGCGTCACTATGAGTCGGAACCGACTCCACGATACTTAAGAACAACAACTGCTTAGTAGTAGAATAATATTTTTTTCTTAACCGTAGGATTTGTCAGTTTTAGAGGCAGAGTGCCAAGTATCACCCAAAGTTTTCATATCTTTTAAAATTCATTATTTTATTTTATAAAGTTTTCTGCAAACATCAAAGAGCACTGGCGTTCACAGAAGACTTTTCTGACCAGTCTGAGATTTCTGAATCATAGGATTAATCAGATTTGCAGAAAGTGTTTAATCAGGTGCTTTGTCCTGTATGTTGTTTCTGTCTGTCTGAGCTCCCTGTCCTAACTGCATATGCCTTATGTGTCCATAAAGCACAGAGATGCCTTGATAAGGTGTTCATGATTTTAGTACTGGATATCCCCTGTTTAAATAACAATGCCTAGTTGGCTACCTAAACTAATCAGTACTGTGAACCTTTCAGAGAAGCAGGATTTAAGGAGCAATTTTAGCTGCTGCAGGGTCAGTTTCTACTAGCCAGCAACCAGCATTCATCATTACATTCCACTGAACCCCCCAGGGAGTCTTATTTATTGTGAATGGAAGAAATTCTGTTTACGTATCTCTATGAATGCAATAACAGTAGTGGGTCTGGTGTATTGGGCAGATAAGGGATAAACATTCCATAATAAAAATTGAGAGATAAACAGTACTTTTAAGGCATTCCGGATCCTTGAAACTACTGAGTAATTCCTAATTTTCATGTTTATTTTTGTTAGAACACAATTGCCACTTTTTATTATTAGCCACGTAACATGTATGACTTTATATTCCCAAATCTTAGAGCATGACCTGCATGTCAGAGATCTTGTACAGCAATGTATTTTCCCAGACAAACATTTCTGATACTTAGAGATGCAGTGATCTTTTTGATAACACCACAAACAGAAAGTTATAATTATGTACAGCTTTAAGATAAAGGAATTCATATACTGTCTGGTGTTGCTGTTATTGGCTGCAGTGTTGTACAAAATTTATCATGGATTTTTGACTGCTGAAAAAGGGACAGTGGAATTTAGCCATACCGAGGACTATACTGGAAACAGACATCTGCTGTTTAATGTGTCCTAATGTGATCTGGTTGTACTTGGAAGAGGTCCCATGTCTTAAGAAGTATTTAAACTGTAGCTGGAACTCATCTGGTGCTCCCAGTATAAGTGATCAACTTGTGGAATAGCCAGTGTCCATGAAACAACTGTAAATACCACCATGCATGGGTCAACTTCTCTGACCATTTCACATCAAAGAAAGCCAAATTCATGGTCAACATCTCTGAAGCTTCGAGTAAGACCTGCACCTCTGTGAATTACTCCTTATGGGCCTGTAGTAGGTTGTGTTGTGAATTGTACAAGGCAGAAATATTGATGTAGTATAGGTCTGTCTTAACTTTTCTTATTTTTGTTAGTTGGATACATGAACATTGATGGTATCATTTCCTTATATATCATTTATGTTATCAAGTTGTCAGTTATGTGTGACATTTTAGTGTCTAATCATCAAACTGACCTATTTTTGGTCATTGTTGTTTAGTTCTGGAAAAATTATTATAGTTAAAAAAAAATCCCTGCCATTATTCATGGTTTTGTCATTGTTACCTCAATTATAAATATTACAAAAAGAAAATTCTGGCAGTGAAAATATTTTTTTATTAAATGATTAAGAAGCAAAGTCAGTGTATAGTAGAATATTATATCCTTAAATGTATATTTTGCATAAAAAAAGATATATTCTTCCATCAATTACTTTTTTGTGAATTTTGTGGTACTTGTACTTGTCTTTTAAACTGTTGTGGTTTGAAACTGTTATATCAATTCTTCACCATGCTTAATCAGTATTTCCAGATTTTGTTAGCTCCCCTGGAATTCAGAATATAACAGATAACCTAATTATGAGCCCCTGTCATTGTGGACCTTTTGTGAACCTTTCAAGGTGCATGTACAACCTTGGTGATAACTAATAGAAATGTAACGAATTGAAATGATGAATAAAAGGCAAATGAGCTGGGGATAAACTTGAATTCTGATTAAATTATTCGTACTCTTTCCTTGGCTCTTCTCTTTGTTTTGCAGTTTTAAACAGGTTTTACAATTTTATGCTTCATGTTTCCATAGCAGAAACTCATACATAGATGAATGAATGGATGTTAGAACATACATAGTTCTTACTTTTGTTTAAATCTTAGACATATAGCTAATTCCACCCCCCCCCATCTATCTTTCCCAGTCAAAATTTCTACTATATTTCTAAGATTGCAAATGTATTAGGTATTCTGGTGCAATATCTATATTGTAGGATAAGCACTGAACTGCTAATTACAAGGTTGGTGGTTCAAAACCACCAGCCACTCCTTGGAAACCCTATACAGGGTCCTTATGAGACAGAATCAACACAATGACAGTTGATGACAACAACTTACCTATTATCTATCAATCATAGGTCTATATATCTATGTATCTATCATTATAAGGTTAATACTGCACTTTCATTTATATTTTCCAGTTTAATTCTCAAAAGCAATTCCAGAGGCAAATGATTCTGTTTTAATTTTGTTAATGGTAAAGTTGTTGAAGTTCAAAGAGGCAGAACTGTTCGTTTCAGTTTTGCGACATACAGTCTTCCTGCCATAGTTCCTTTTAGTTTAAATAATAACTGCTTCTTATTTATAAATACTTAGGTGCAATTAAGGAATACTGATGTGGCTCTGTGGGTTAATATGCCAGACTGCAAAGTCATTTGAGCTGCAAAGTGGGTGGTTCAGGCTTACCAGCTACTCCTCAGAAACCCTATAGGGTTCGCTATGGATCAGCACTGACTCGACAGCATTTAACAACAACATGGGCAATTAAAAACAAAATTAAAAAAAAAAAAAAAAACTTGGTTTGGCCTTTGCCTTTGGTTTCTGAAAATAGCTCTTGGAATTCACAATCAAGGTGCTCTTTGTTTTTTCTAAAACAGCCAGGTGATATTTAAACATATGCAAATGAGTTGGAAGTCCCTAACATTTTATCTGCAACAGAATTTGGAACCAACCACCAACCCTCTCCTTAGGTGGTGAGGTGGGGATAATATACATATTACTTCATGTAGCATGTCACATAGCTTTGGTATATACGAATGTCTGTGAGGAAGGAGTTGGGGAGTCATTGGACTATAGTGCTAGGTAAGAGCACACAATAGTTTTTCAACCCACCTAACTAAGCCCACACAACCAGTGCTGGGGATCAAGTGAAGGTAGATCCCCTTTGAACAGCTTGCCTACATTTTCAGGGGTGAAGCATGCATAGAAGAGTTCATCTCTCCGGGGACAGCTTCCAGAAGCTAGTGGGGACCGGCTCCATGAAACTGTTGTTTCCCTGAGTTCTTTGTCTATGACATATCCGTGCTCAGATAGAAGAATTTTCCATCTCTACTCTGACAGCCTTTTCCAGCAGGTGGTATGGAGTGATCTTCTGTCATGGAACTTTTCCTATTGTATGCTATCTGCTTCTTTTTGTAAATTAAAAACCGTGTACTATCCATGTCCTAACACTCTGGAAGCATCTTGGATGTTCAAACTCTGATTAGAAGGATGTGATGTTCATAGAGGAACTACTATCAGTGACCAGACCCTTTTACTAAGGGACTTGTGGCTACTTAGGAATCTGGGGCAATATGTGACTGCATCACAATTATGATATAAAGATAACTTCTATTTCACCTTTGGGTAAGCGCCCTCTGTTTCAGTATCACACCACAAATAACTGACATTCTCCTTACATTGTGAGGATACTTGTGAATTTACCCTGTAATACTCTTTAAAATAATCCAGGGTTACAGGAAGAGTACCATGAGAGACAGAAATAAAATTGGCAAATCCAGTACTTTCTCACAATGCCACAGTGGGATCTTTCCTATGTCTAAAAATTAACAGTGTTGATTAACAGACTATTAAGAAATTGAGCTCAGAAAAGGGGAACTGTCCAAATATCATTACTGACAATTTTTTTTTAACAATTGTGTCAGCATGTAGGGTTTACTGTAAAAAAAAAAAAAGAAATATGTTGGAAAAGAAAAGACTGTATTTTAATAGGTTATAATTGCCATAAAATTGTGGTTAAATATCAGCATTAAATAGTCATGAATGAAAAGGGAAGACATTTTATGTTTGAAATAAATCACACAACACTAATGGAATAGCAATAAAGAACTTATTTTTAAAAAGAGACATTGAATATGTTAAAAGATTATTATATTACAAGGCATGAACTCAGAAGGATTTACAGCATGCCTAGAAGACATTTATAGCTAAATGAATCTACTAAAATAGTGAAATTCCTTGTGGTTGGTGATGATTAATGTGGTTTCAAACTTATCCTCATGAATTGTTTTAGTACTACCATGTTGCTGTGGTTGTTAGGTGCCATCGAGTCAGTACCGACTCATAATGACCCTATGCACAACAGAACAAAACACTGCCCGATCCTGGGCCAACCTCACTATTTTTGCGATGCTTGAGCCCATTCGTGCTGCCAGTTTGCCAATCCATTTCCCTGGGGGGTCTTCCTTTTTTATTCTGACCCTCCACCTTACCAAACATGATGTCCTTCTCCAGTGACTGGTGTCTCCTGACAATATGTCTGAAGTATGAGAGATGAAGTTTGGCCATCCTGGCCTCCAAGGAGCACTCTGGCTTCACTTCTTCTGTCAGTTTGTCGTACTGTGGTGGCCTGTGAGTTGCTGTGATTCTGAAGCTTTGCCACTGGTATTTTAAATACCAGCAGGGTCACCCACAGTAGACAGATTTCAGATGAGCTTCCAGAAGATGACAGACTAGGAAGGAGTGATGAGCTACTTCCGAATATTTAGTCACTGAAAACCTTAAGCGTACTACCATGTATACATACTAATTTTCTCTATCATAAATTACAATATCATGAATATTGATCTTAAGTTTTAAAATTTCTTCTTCTCATATAAACTAATATTCTTTAAGGGATATTATCTTTTTCATCATTGTCTAAAATGCATTCATTCAATAAATTAGCATGACGCATTCCTTTTATTAGTTTATCAAACTCCCATACCGAAGTGCCCACTCGATAGGCACATTGATTCTCAGGACTTCCAAGAATATGGCACTCTCTACCATTTGTGAACACAGCATTCAGATCTATATTTGGTCCTCTGTTTACAGTGTTAATACAGCTACAGTTGTGCAAATTCATTTTCCCAAGCATTGGTAATAGTCACAACACATGGTTATTGGTTATTTTCAATAAATACTTTGCTCAAGCTGAAAATATAAAATGAAATATCAATAAAGTATTAATCACTAAAGGTTTTTTCAATCTGTCCTTTATCTACATTTTTAGTCCAAGTTCACCTTTCATACTTATTATGCTTTGTCCTAACTATGCACAGGCTTGCGGAAACACACCAGGACAGTACAAGTGACTAAGACAGCATGCCTGTTATTGAACAACTTCATCTAGTGTCTTGTTCTTTAATCTTGACTGTGCACCAGATAAATTATTAATGAGCCTTTCAGTTTGTCTTACTGTGTGACTTGTACATTGCTGCAATGCTGGAAGCTATGCCACCAGTATTTTAAATACCAGCTGGGTCACCGAGATTGGAGAGGTTTCAGCTGAAGTTCCAGACTAAGACAGACTAGGAAGAAGGAGAAACTGACTACTTCTGAATATTTAGCCACCGAACATCTTCTCAGTAGCTGTGTAATACTGTCAGCACCAGAATATTGAATATTGAAACAAAATGAGTGGTGGTGGTGGTGGTTGTGTGCCCTGGAGTCGGTCCCGACTCATAGCGACCCTGTGCAGGGTTTCCGAGGCTGTAAATCCTTATGGGAGCAGAAACCTCATTTTTCTCCTGCAGAACAGCTGGTAGTTTCGAATTGTTAACCTTAAGGTTTGTAGCCGGATTCGTAACCACTACGTTACCAGAGGTCCTTACATAATGAGTAGGCCCAGAATATTTTCAGACATAGTGCCAGAATAAGAGCCCCTCAGATTGGAAGGCAGTCAAAATTTGCCTGGGGAAGAGCAGCTTCCTCAAATTAGAGTTGACTGTGATAATGCAAATGGAGAAAGGCTTTGGGGACCTTCCTTTGCTAATGGGGTACAACATAAAATGAGAAGAAACAGCTGTAAATATGCATTAATAATCAAACCATGCAATGTATAAAGTATGACTATAGGAAAACTACATGTTGTTAAAAATGAAATGGAATGCATAATGATCCATATCCCGGGCATTAATGAATTAAAATGGACTAGTATTGGCTATTTTGAATTCGACACCCATATGATTTATAGTACTGTAATGACAAATTGAAGAAGAATGGCATTGAATTTATCATCAAAAAGAACATTTTAAGATACATCATGAAGTATAATGCTGTCTCTGATAGGATAATAGCCATATGCCTATAAGGAAGACCAATTAATACAGCTATTATTTAAGTTTATGCCCCAACTATTAAAGCCAGTCATGATAAAATTGAAGAATTCTAGCAGCAACTTCTTCAATCTGAAATTGATAAAATATAAAATTAAGATTTATTGGTAATTGCTGGTGAATGGAATGCAAAAGTTGGATGGAAACAAGAGGAAGGATCAGTAGTTGGAAAATACCGATCTAGGAATAAAAATGATGCTTGAGAGATGGCATGATAGAATTTTGCAAGACGAATGCAAATATCCTTTGCATTGCAAACATCATTTTTAAACAACATAAAAGATAATTATACATATGGACGTCACCAGATGTAATACACAGAAATCAAATTGACTACATCTGTGAGAAGAGATGTTTGTTATTGTTGTTGTTAGGTGCCATAGAGATGGTAACTACTCATAGTGACCCTATGTACAACAGACCAAAACACTGCCTGGTCCTAAGCTAACCTCACAATCATTGTTACATTTGAGCTCATCCCTACTACTAATGTACTAATCCATCTCATTGGGGGTCTTCCTCTTTTTCTTCCACCCTCCGTTTTACCATACATGATATCATTTTCTAGGCACAGGTCT